CTGACAAGCGGGAAGTTTCGCACCTGTTCTGGAGATTTCGAGAACCATCTGGGTTACCTGGAGGAAACTATATAAGCGACGACGAGAACCAGACGAGAGAAGTAAAAGTGACAGCAGCGACCGAGTTCAGAAGACGTTAAACCCCGCGAGTCGGAAGACCGAGTTTTCCGTTTGTTATTGTTATTGTTTGTGAAGTTGTCGTTAATTTAGAAGTTAGTTTGTCCTTGTTCCGTATTTAAAGTGATACCGAGTTGAATAAAAGTTTGAAGCTGAAGAAAGAGTTTGATACTCGGCCCTCCACGGTACAATATTATTACAAAACAGTAATGATGTTTATCATTTTATGTTAAATATGAAAGATTACAAATTAGATATCTAAATATTGATAATTTGTTGTTACAAAATAAAATAACAGATAATAGAACATATTATTGCATTAAAAGTTATTAATAATAGTTGTGACACTTTATTTGCACTTAATCTTGAGCATTTTTCATAAATTGACCCTGCCTTCTTTAGAAAATATCCGCTCAACAACTGGTTTAACAATTGTCTCTGATGAAAATCACTAAACAACTAGGTAGTACCTAATATTTTACCAGTTCGGAACTTTGAATCGTGCAATACAATGCAAATGGACATCATCTGGGCAGCATCTGGACTACAGGCGGATAGTAAGACATAGGGATTCGGTACCGTGATTGTATCGATACGATTTAATTTAATTTAATCTTTTCTTGATACGAATTTGCGTCCAGAATCAATCAGGCAATTTAAAGTAGTTCCAACAGTTTTTCAAAAACTTTATTGTAGTGGATCTTATTAAAAATGTTGGCACAATTTTGTTGCACAACATCGATTGTAAGTTCTTTAAACAATATCTAACAATGCACGGCAATGTGCAATCTCATTTGCAATGATAAATACCCGGTCGTTTGAAGATGATTTTTAAAAGTTTGTAATACATTTTTCTGCAAATTGATGGACGATCCGCATTTTTTGCACTTAAACTGCTTTAGTCTGTATAATTATGTGTGTTCTTTAATTGGAAATTTAAATGAAGGCGAAATCGGAATAAACTGCACCGAACACAATAGTATCACGAGGTTAAAATACCACCAGTCCAACGAGGTTGAAATATCTGCGCACGGCATTCGGAAAATATTAAAATTTGGAAACTTTTGCGGATGGGCGGAGCTAACGCATCCGACAAATTTATGATTGGTCGGAAGGTTTTCCGCATTCCGCATTTCGGACCCATGAGAACCCAGCTTAACGGTCAACTACCGTTTCTAAAGATAAAAGTTAGTTTGGGAAGGACAGGCGAGAGAACCAAGTCACATAGCAATGT